CGAGTTTGCTCGAGTTTGCTCGAGTTTGCAAACTAAAGTTTGCTAGTGTAGACAGGGCTTTAGGTAAATAAAATGACAAGAGTCGGATATTTGAATATGTATGATCGGCAGGCGGTATCTTTGAATTTTATTTTTTCTTGAAACCCTCTAAAAGTGACCGCAGTCGCACATTTTATCACTCCGAAATGTGAAGTCGGGCGGGTGACCCGAACCAAAGGTAATTTTTAGGTCGGCCTAACATCTAGATGCTCATATTATGCATACTCAGTATTAGAAATGTAACTGTAAATTAAAACATAATTTAGCATAATGAAAGGTTATCGGTATAATAAAATTTAAATGAACACTTGATTGTTTGACAGTACTCAGTCTTACCTTCTTATCATAAGTTTGAAATGTGCTGGGAAGCATGTTAGGAAAGAGCTTAACAGCAACAGGCAAAAGGAACTCCATGAATGGTACAATCACAAAGACCAAGAACGGCACAAGTCGAAACAGATCTGACACGGTGCGTAAGAACTGAAATGAGCAATGAACATGTGTATTATAACATCCTTCCATTTACAGGTGAAAGACTATTGAAAATCTTACCTACCATGTATTAATCATAACATTCACCAATACTTCAATACTCATGTTACAAATTATCTAACTTGGATTAATATATATAATACCTGTATCAGTAACCACATCTATAAACAATTCAGTCATTTATTAAGCAATAGTGTAAAACATTATTTTTTTCAGAGATGTCAATAAACTACTGTGGGACCATTCAGGTGATTACGTGACTAAGCATGCATATGCATACCACAACGACGTTAACAGCACAATGACTCAATATGCTGCAGTGACTCACGTAACTGCACGCACACAATGATGGACATCCCGTGCACAAACCTGTTTTCGCTCCCTGCGTGATAACGTGTATCCATTCATCACTTGCCATAGGAGTCGCGCCGAAATCTTGATGTCGATGAAGAGTAAGCGAAACCCGTGATAATAATGCTTAATCTCATCGACGATTCTCTGACCGAGTGACTTTTTTGCAGCTACCGCCGTGACGGTAGCTTCTTGCACTAGCGGTGATAGTGACTGCTTCTTCACCTGCTCCTCTTGCTTCTCTTTTAAAACCTTGACAGTCTTCTCTAATTTGGATTCGTGGTGTTCATACAGGGTCGCTGATGAACGAAACAGTCTATGCGACGTGAGATGGATGCTGTCGTAGCGCAGACCCAATAATCGTGTGTTGGTGCTGCAGTACTTCCATCCCAGTGAGAGGTGGCAGATGGGATGCAGCCTGCTAGTGCTAGTATGGCGCGAAAATTTGTGACCGGGTAACCTGCATCAAAAAGCAATGAAACTATTGAAACTAGTGTGCGTAGAAACATGGAGTGACAACTCCATAAAACATGGAGTGACAACTCCATAAAACATGGAGTGACAACTCCATAAAACATGGAGTGACAACTCCATACCCAGTCTGCTGTAATACTATCATATCACCTAAATTCTAGCATAAGTTGTGAGTAAACTATGATACTAGGCAGGGTTCGACACTAACCCACGTCCGACCGACCTAGTCGGGTAAATGCTTGGTCCGGTCGCATACAACCAGAGTGCTAGTAGCCCGACTGGTCATGTTAGAATTGATCATTTATATTGCACTGAAAGGTCACCTCTGGCTAAACTGGTTCACGGCCGCACTGTTTGTCGCAGAGCGTGTACATTGTCTAGCAGAGCGTGAGGCCGGATACCAGTCTACCTTTCGGCAAAAGCAATAACGTGGCTTTCTGCCAGCCGCAGTAGACGATCGATAAACCGTGCGCTCGTGTATGCCCGTGGTAGAATACGAATGCTGCACGTGAACTCGGCCCACGCGCAATTTAAAGCGCAGGAAACAGCATCTATGAATTCATACGATGACACACTCTTATCTAAATAAAGTTTTTCATAACAATGGTCTGGGTCTGGGCTAGTGAAAGTTAGGTCAGGGCTAGTGGTTTTCCTCAGTTACTAGCCGATGGTCTAGTGAAATAAAAAGTTATTGTTGAACCCTGTACTAGGTGTTCACAATCAATGGTTGATTACCACCAATAGTTAGAAATCGGTACTGTGTAAGATAAGAGAAGACTGAATAATTCACAAAAGCTTATTAAATATGATATGTCACATATGCAATCGTACAGACTCACAGTGACAAACACACGCGCATGTATACATGCATGCACGCAGGCTCTCTCTCTCTCTCTCTCTCTCTCTCTCTCTCTCTCTCTCTCTCTCTCTCTCTCTCTCTCTGTGTGTGTGTGTCTCTCTGTCTCTCTGTGTGCGTGCGTGCGTGCGTGCGTGCGTGCGTGCGTTCGTGCGTGTGTGTGTGAGCAACTCTCTCTCTCTCTCTCTCTCTCTCTCTCTCTCTCTCTCTCTCTCTCTCTCTCTCTCTCTCTTATCTCTCCCTGCCTGATGATACACTTGCAAATTAATTACCTCTCACTGCGGCCTTCGGTAGAAACATCATGAAAATACAATCCAGATATCCTATTCCAGCCTTGTGAATTAAGGTATGCATTTCTAGGAATAGCAGCACGCTGAAATTCTGCAATAAGGAACATATCACCAAGCTACAATATTCAACTTCATATCATTTCTATATCAAGTAATACAAAATATGCCCTACCAGTGTATGAAGTTATGTCAACTCTTTCATTTAAATGCTACCATCACCCTTGAAAATATGCCTAAAATCCACGTCATTCCAGATTTCGAACAATCTCAGATTGAATCTGATTTCTACTACTTAACCTAGATGTGGTAAAATTAATTAAAATAAGCTAGTCTTGCACAAATGATACCAGTTCCAGTGTAGCATACATAGTACATGCATCCCCTGTGACAAACATCCGGCCTCTACATTATGCATGGGTATTAGCATGTCTAGCAGGTAGCATTATAACTGTGACTCGGATTTGCTTTTAGTTTTAGTACATGTGCACAATTTATACAGAGGACATTTGCTATTTAGTATTATAGGGAGTATGTATCACATAGATACACCAGACTGATGGGGGGGGGGTGTGTGCTATTTATAACACTGATACCATTAGTCTAGAATTTGAGATTATTATACGACACATATCACATTTTTAACAAAGATGATGATACAATGTCAATGAATTACATCACGATGACTGACGTTAAAGGGATATTCCCTTGAACTTTCAAGCGGCAAACATAAAATCAAGCAAAAATGAATTATTTTAACATTGCACGCTTCTACTTGCCTATATATGTGTGATAGGTGAAAAAAAGTTGCTCAGGAATACGTCAATTCAAAGCTTTTAGACTACATAGGGAAACGTTCGGGTCGAATGTTTCAAACGCGTTTACCGTTGCCGCTATGCGGCGATTGTTCCGCTCTGCACAATTGCCGTGTTATGTATGTATGAATCATGCTATGTAAAATTATAAACACTGGCAGGTTTATTATGACCCAATGGTTTTTCTGGTCACGTACATGGCTAGCTGATAGGGAAAGCGCAACGTTTTTGTTGCTGGGAGATTATAGTATTCTGAGCGAGTTAACGAGTGAGTGAGTCGAGAGTTCTGTCAGGTAGCTGTTAGTTTGGATTACGTTTTGTTGGGTTTTTAGCACGTTCTATCTCGAAAAACGGTTACGGTAAAAATTCTGAAATTAATAACATAAACAGTCGAGGTGCCTCTCTGTCTAGACTACATAGTTTGATTTCATAAAATAATTTATATTAAAAGTTATGATATCTGAAAGTGGCTACATTGACTCGATTGAAATGATGGTTGCTATATAAACAATATGGCGCCTACGGAACCGCGGCGAAAAGCGTTTTTTGAGTTGTTTCTTCGATGAGTAAATATAGGCTTGATACATATTTTTACAGTTTTATTTTCAAAGCTAACGTTCAGTTAAAGTGTAGTGAGTTATTTACTGACGTTCTTACAGTGGTTTGTTACACAAATTTACGTGGAAAGTTCGAGGGAAGCTACCTTCACTTAGTCAACGTCTGTTGGGCAGCACTTACATAAACACACTGGGGCGACTTGTTCATACACATGCATTCATCTTTTAACAGGCGCCGCTAGTAATTCTCCAATAAACCTGAGTATATTTAAGCCTGATCTACCTAACCCTGTCGAGTATGCACGTTGCAAACTAGCTCTAGTACTATAGCCCGCGGATAGCTGCCACAAGGCTATAGTACATTTTGCCATAAATGTAATCTATCCAAATGCTCCAACTGGTCTAACCAAAAATTTATCCCCAAAACGCAAAATGATCGGGCTTTTTAACACTTATCTATCAACATGGACAGCTCACCTATCTTTTTGAACACTTTCCACAACTTTACACCAGGTATTTATGCATTTATTCCTCAAAGTCAGCACTTATTGAAATTACATTTCAAATCATATGGCGTGCGCACGCACGCGTAATGTCCCCGGATATGTTGGCAAAAAGGCAAGGCAGCTATGGTGCATGTATTATTAACGGGGGTGATGGGTAAACTCGCCCTGATGCACCAATGTGCGCACAAT